AGGAAGACTACCCAGACACAGCAACGATTCTTGCGGATTGCCTCTACGTCGACGACCTCCTGACGGGAGCAGAAAACGAGGAGGAAGCTATGAGGCTTTACAACGACGCAAACGCCATCTTCGGGACTGCTTCCATGACACTCCACAAGTGGGCCTCAAATAACCAGAGTATGAACGAACGCTTCGTGAATGACAGTTGTGAGGCCAAGCACCTAGGATATCTCACGGGCGTCCTCAAGGTGTTGGGACTGACGTGGAGCCCCCACACTGATCACCTGACGTTCACTCCATCGACGACTACGCAACCAGATTCTGGAATGAGCACGAAGAGATCCCTTCTCAAAACAACGGCTCGCCTGTACGACCCCCTCGGATGGTTGTCACCATTCACTGTTAGGGCAAAAGCTCTATTCCAGCAGCTATGGCAACGACATGTGGAATGGGATGAAAAACTGCCACAGGACTTGGACGGGAAATGGATGCAATGGTGTAGTGAACTGAACGATCTGCAAAACATTCGGGTGCAGCGCTACTACCAAGCCGGCACGACTGGAAGTGCGGAGAAAACTACCCTGCACGTATTTGCCGACGCCAGCCCGATCGGGTACGGAGCAGTGGCTTACATCTGTGTCACAGACGCGGATGGAAGTACTACATCGACCATCCTGATGAGCAAGTCACGAATCGCTCCAGTCAAGCAACTGACACTACCGCGACTGGAGTTGATGGCATGTCTGTTGGCGGCCAGGTTGCACAGCTACGTCATGCGAAGCTTGAAACAAACGCCAGACGAGTCACACTTCTGGACGGACTCAACGATAGCTCTGCATTGGATCACAGGGGAGCTATCTCAGTGGAAACAGTTCGTGCAGAACCGGGTGACTGAGATTCAACGCCTCACCGACATCTCTGCGTGGAGACACTGCCCCGGACTGGAAAACCCGGCAGATCTCATGACCAGAGGGATCGGTGCTGATCAGCTTGTTGACAGTTCTCTTTGGTGGGAGGGAGCACCGTGGATCAAGATGCACGAGAGCTCTTGGCCACACTCCCCACTAGTGGATGACTCTCCGCCGACAGCGTTGGTGGAGAGAAGGACGATTGAGGTGCTCCAGGCAACGAGCTCCACTGCGGTTCCTTCAGTGCTGAACATTGAACGCTACAGCGATGCAGCACGCCTCTTTCGGGTGACAGCGTGGATTCTGCGCTATGTCGGCAAGCTACGGCATGTAAACAGTAACACCGGTCAACTTACAGCCATCGAACTGGATCAAGCCGAAAAATACTGGATACGTCAAGTACAGCGGGAAGAGCTTCAACGGGAAATCGGGAGTACACAAAAAAGGGAGCGTCTTCCATCGGACTCGCCTCTACGAGACATCCCAGTGCACATTGACGATGACGGCATTCTCCGTGTCACCGGTAGGCTTCAACAGAGTGACAAGCCGTACTCTGAACGACACCCCAGCGTATTGACAGGCAGACATCGCTTGGGAGAATTGCTTGTCCGACAGTCGCATCGTCAGGTGCTACACGGGGGAGTTCGGGACACCCTGGCCCAGCTTAGAGAGAGGTACTGGGTGGTGCGAGCACGGCAATTGGTGAAGAAGATAATCAAGGGATGCGTGACGTGCCAGCGCTTCAATGCCCGTCCGGCGACGGAAGTGACCGCTCCGCTTCCACGAGACCGAGTGACACAGGCTCAACCCTTTGAGGTCACTGGCGTCGACTTTGCAGGACCACTGCTGGTAAAGGGAGAAAACGGACTGCACAAGTCCTATGTGACTTTGTTCACTTGTGCCGTAACGAGAGCGATTCACTTAGAGCTCGTCAGAGATATGTCCACCGAGTCATTTTTGATGGCGCTGAGACGTTTCATCTCACGAAGAGGTGTCCCTCGGACCATTTACAGCGATAACGCACTCTCATTCAAGAAAGCCAACAGAGACCTCCAACAACTATGGAGCGCTATTCGTGATCCCGAGGTCCTTGGTTACGTTACCAACGCACGAATCGAGTGGAAATTCATCGTCGAGCGCGCCCCATGGTGGGGCGGGTTCTACGAGCGCCTCGTCGGATCAACGAAGCTCTCACTAAAGAAAGCGATTGGTGCCAGATGTTTAAATTTCGACGAGTTGGCAACAACACTGACCGAGATCGAGGCGGTATTGAACTCGAGACCGCTTACTCACGTCTACGACGAACCCGGAGAGCCCGAGCCCCTCTGTCCGTCTTTCTTTTTGACGGGCAGACGACTGACGACGCTGCCAAGCATGGGGAAGAAAGATGTCGAAGGTGTTCACACCGACCTCCGCAGGTTTTGGACCCACCGACAGATGATAACGGAAGCCTTCTGGCGCCGATGGAGCCAAGAGTACCTGGTGGAACTGAGGAAAGTGCAAAGCCAGAAACAACGCCAGGGAAAACTGCTGGAAGAGGGTGATCTGGTTCTTCTCCGAGACGGCCTGCGGCCCCGACAGCAGTGGAGACTCGCTAGGATCCAGAAGGTGTTTCCGGGAAGAGACGGCAAAGTACGATCATGCCTGCTCAAGATGCCTGGAGGGTCAACGCTCAAAAGACCCATACAGTTATTGTACCCTCTAGAGATCGCATAACGGGACAAAAAAATGACGCTGTCATTTTGGGGGGGAATGTGTTGTAAAATAAAAAGAAGAAAACGTGGAGATGCCCGAGCCGGGAAGAGGGAAGGAAGAGCGACTTCGAAGACGAGCAGAAACCGAGGCACCAGCCCCTTTCCGGGAAACCGGGGAGAGGGACGGAGGGCCGCGTGGAGAGCGCGCCCCACCGTGGGGTCATAAACGACGAGCCCCCCTCTTGGACCGACGCTTGGTGGGGGCGACTTCGCCCTTCTTGTTGGAACGAGAGTCGAAGGAGGACGTGCCTTCTCTAACTTCACTTAAATGAGTTTTCAATATAATAAACCATGTTCTGTTACTCTAAAAACCAACGAGTCCTTTCCCTAATTCCACAAACACCGTGTGGGCGTTGCATGTTGGGAACTAGTTGGCCAGGAGCTGGCGAAGTGGCGGACTCTGTGGTTTTGGTTTAGGTCAACACGTGCGGCGCTGACGGCCAACCGTGCACAACTTGCCGATTATATCGCATCTTGGTGCAGTAAGTGCACCTTTAGGTACTTAATACCAAGCTGTGTTGTGTAAATGATCTGATTACCGGGGTTACGGCATTTCAGTGGTTTAAATACTAAATTGAAAGAACAAAGTCTGTCCCAGAACCGATCGAAATCTTTATTTCACAGGGGATCAGCGCTCTTAGTGTTTGTACGCATGCATGGCAACATACACTTGTGCCAAAAAGTTTCCCTCTAACGAAATTATGTTGCAAGCTGCAGCGGACATTTTCTGTAAAACTTAGGTTGACACTGTAGCAGCCGCTTTTGATCTCCCAAGCAGTGTGCAAACAGCCATGATTGATTAGTATGGTGCGCACATAATCTTGTTTCCTGTTGCATTGCAAACCTCTATTTGAACCTTCTAGTGCAAGCACTTAATAGTTTCAATTGTTTTCAGAGAACCCCTATCGCTCTGGGCATGTACTTCAGAGCATGCTTCAAAATGGTAGCGCAAGCTCCCACTACACATAGCGTTGCCTGAAAGCATGATCTACTAAAACTTCGTATTATGCATTGCGACTTTATACTTCATGTCATCTTAACGTGGATAAGCGCGAAGGCAATGAGTGCGAGCTCCTCGAGTTGAACAGCGGCTCGGCTGCACGAGTGCTAGAGCAGCTGGGGCACCTGTTGATGCTATCCACTCGTACTTGTAGCTTTTGCGCTTAGACCATGTTAAAATAGCCAGTTTTAGTAGGTTGTTTTCAGAGGCCCGCTATCGCTCCGGGCGCGCGCTTCAGAGCATGCTTCGAAATAACAGCGTGAGCTCCCGCGACAGCACGAGCTCCTACACATAGCATTGCCTGAAAACGCGATCTACTAAAACTCTCTAGTGACACTAAGTACAGATGCGATGGGCAAGTAAAAAAATGTAAAATAAAACAAAAAGAATGCCACCTTTATGCGGACTGCAGTTGTATGCGACGACGCCGACTCCACACGACATACGGCCACACTGCCTCACGTGTCTATTGATCAAACCCGAAACTCCACGGTCAAATAGTGCACAGTAAGCATTGCGTAGACTTTGCTGCGGTGAGACGCTTCGTGTTTGGGAGGAAGCCATCATGCCTGCAATATTACCACTTTAAAACATAGGAAGAAAATAAATAAATAAAATGTAGTGGGTCTGAGCGGGCCGGGCCGTGTGAAACAGTGCCGGGTCAAAGTGTTGGCACGAAGGGTTGGGCCAGGCTATTGAAAACTGACCCGTGCAAATCTCTAGCTTGGTCATCACTTGCCACATATGACTGTCTTGCAGATACATCTTTATCAAGGACCTTTAATCTGCTGCTCGGGAGACATTGCTGTTCAAAAAATGTCTTCAAAAATAACAATTTCATTCTACTCGAGCATATGCAGAAATAACCACCAGCACTCCACAATGACATCACGTGCAAGTAACACGTACTTGGTCAATTGAACAGTCACACATTTCTTGGTAATCAGGCAATAAGTACTATGGTTACACACAGGAGGACAGCAGGGAGGCCCTTCAGTTATCCTGCCTTTAGCGCAAGCCTCCGACCTTTGATAACATTTCTGCGTCCCATGAGCCTCGAGCATGCACACGCAGCTGAAGCACGCTGGAAGGCAACAAGAGTATGCTGGAAGGCAAGGCATTAAAACGAAATGCCCTGCCACTCTCTTGGTGGGCATGCATATTCAGCGCCCTGGCATCGAAAACTATGTATGATGCACACTGTGGTTCACAACAGTTACGAAGATGGTCAAACGTCCGATAGCTTAGCTACACCTGTCATCTCGATGAGTGTTTCACTTGCACACTATCAAAAGAGTGTAGACAGCTATTTTCGCGGGTGTCTCGTGTGGCAATGTGTACACTCACTTTCAGTTTTGTGTGCAGGTGGAAACATATCAGGAAACTCAGCTGAAGCAGGAGTCCGATAGAGTTGACCCACATCAATATGGTGTCTTCCTTTTTGACGCCGTACTGCAACCAGATGAACGTGCTACAGAACGGGAATGGATGCAACAGATGACAGCCGGAATATCTGAATGCATACATCATGCACGCGCGAATAGTTCCGCCGGTACTCACGTCAGTATTCCGGCTAGGAACGGTAACGGGGAAACATCGATTGTGTTTCCTTTGGCGTAGACGTTCCTGCATATTTGTCTGAAAAACAAAGCATAAAAACAAGTCTGCTGTCATAAAGTTATAACGCTTCAACGTCGACGAGCGCTAAGATAGCGAAGCCAGGCACAGACTAGTGTGCTTGACACGAACGCAAAAACCTCACTTCCCAAGAAAAAACACCCTTCAGAACCGACTGTAGAACAAACGTAACCGCACTCACATTCCGCTTGCATAGTTGATTATGGTAAACACGGTAGCCAAGTTGCCGACGACGACCTTCGCGGTTTCCATCCTGAAGTTTGACGACGCGGCAGTGGCGGCAGACTACTGATATGTTTTGATTCGTGGAGGATCGCGCATCGCGCCACCGCAAACAGCAGCAGCGGCGGTCATATGGATGTTATTGGCTTGCTGTATTGGCCAGTATTGTATTGACTCTTTAAACTTTACACGTAGGCGGTCGCTACCGGATAGATTAAAAACGCCAAGTTTAGCGGCGATACGAGTCTTGCATAGTCAAGTATAGATCGCGCTAGCTGTCGTTCAATTCCAATTCTGCAAGTGAAGCCACCGTACGGCCATCTTGCATGTCAAAAAAAACGTTTTTGGCGCGTTGCGGAGGCTGGCGGCAACGTTCAACACCCACGTTTTCTACTCGTTCGTCGTCATTCGCCAAAGAAGTTGTTTAAAACGCGGTGCAAGCCGTGAGACTTGCTGTTGAGACGACGTGCAAATTTTTACGGAAGCGCGATGCAGCAGGAAAAAGATACAACTCGCCGAAAGCAAGTTTCGCTGCTCGCGGCGTGGTGAAAGCTTCTTTGACACGCCAAACTGCCGCGTCTTTGTGCTTTCGCACGCTTGGATACCGATCAAGAATTGACACCGTGTGGTTATGCTCTGCGAGTGGAATGTGCGTGAAGCCGTATGTGCCTCTGCAGCAGCGTTTTAATTTACTCTGGCGACTGTATTTGTAACTTGCGGCACTCGCGGCCCAGAAACGAGCTTGATCCAGCGTCTAGTGGCGACGGAAGAGAGGGGGGGGGGGGGTACGTCCTTTTTTTGTCGTTGGACTGTTTTACAGATTACTGCGCACAACAGTTCCTCATCACTGATCAGTGGTGGCTCATTATCCGTGGTGTAAATCGCGGGGGGGGGGGGGGGGGCAGTGGTGGTCCCCACCCCCTTTGTGGTTAGACTGGGGAAGATGCCTGTTGCAGATGTCCCCCCCCCCCTCCCCCCCGAGATTTCGCATACAAACAGCCTTTATTTTGACCTGCTTCAAATTTAATGTTAACAGGCACGCCATTCCGAAATCAACTCGAAGTTCCAACTCCTCACCGACACAACGAAAGAAATAGCACCCATTTGATCTGTTCGAACAGATCACTACAGCCGTGAGGTTATGAAGAATAAGCGATCATGCACGCGACTCAAAATGCCTCATCGCCTTTGCTTCACTTGTTACGTTTACATGGATGCGACAGCAGCGTATTGCATTTGATTTGATCCAGTTAGCGAATCGGATCCACTTCAGCCCCTGCGTTTACATAGATTCGGATCGACCAATAGCGGCACCTCGTGTCGAATGATCACAATAGCAAACGTTGTGACTTTTCGATCGTTTCCGGGGTTTTCGCAGCGACACCTCAGAGCAGCGGTGCTGGCGCTTTGTTTGGTGCTTCAGAAACTTTATTTTGTTTCGCTGATTGTCGCGGGTACAAACGTTCATCACGCCGTCTTCGTTGCCACCTTTCTTCAAGATTAACACCGCTGCCGACGCATACATAGCATCACCACGCCGCTGCGTCCTTTACTGACCAGCGGTTGGACCTCCTAGGAGCTGGCTGTCATTAAAATACTACGTCATCTGGCATAGTTGAGGTGTTTGCCTGTGACATTTTACGCATTGTCTAGCGTTACGTCCGACGGTACCCAAAATAAAAATTAAAGTTACATCTGACGTAACTTTACCCCAAGGTTTCAAGTTACGTCCGACGGAGCTCGAAATGAAAATGAAAGTTACTTATGACGGAAATAAAAGGTAAAGTTACGTCCTCGGTAGCTTATGCAACCACAAAACGCTGGGCGTAATTTTCTCTGAGCATCTGTCGTGGGATCGCCATATTGACAATTTGGTCAGCAGTCATTGGCGTTATTAGAAGATGCCGCTCAATATTGTGAGTCATTATCATTATTAGAAGATGCCGCTCAATATTGCCTGTTAACATTAAACTCGTGATTTATCATGCCCTTTTCCGGTTTCATATAAATTGTCACCTCGTGTGGGGCACAACAACTACTTTGTATTTAAACAGAATACTGTTATAGTATTATGTATAGTATTCGTTGTAGTATCTCTTTAAAGGGATACTACAACGAAAATTTGGCACTATACTTTCTTGGTCTATTCGTGCTCAATAGAGCATTATCACATCAGACACATCAAACTATTGTAGAAAAAAAAAACACGAAAAGGAATCTTAAAACAAATTAAATGATTAGCAGAGAGCATATGGTGGATGTCGCTAACGTCTCGGTTGTAATGCACGTCTAGGAATCCTGACAGGTAGTGACGGTAACTGTCTTGCCTCTGGCCACAACGAGAGAAGAGCTGAAGGAGGAACTCCCCCCCCCCCCCCTCTCCCCGAGACTCTCTTTTTTTGTGTGTCCCATAAGTCGCTATTGTTCTTCTACAACATTATAGAAGATTAACCCGTCACTCAAAATTCGTACAAAGACAGCTTTGGATTACATTCGGTGGCCCGATCGCTGGTGAGCTTCGGCTGCTTTCAGCGGATGCTCCGAGCCATCGGGGCGGGCCTCTCCAAGGCCGTATGAATGTCACATGACCTTAGAGAGGGGGCAAAGCGACGCGCGGAAAGTGTTTTACGGGCTACGTCCACAGAGTGGGATTGGTTGGGATAGCTCGCAGCGTCCGCTTCGTTCGGACGTAAGGTCCCGAGACAAACTACGTCACGATTGCTGAGGATATGACGTGGTCTCCAATAATTGCTCTCTAAGCGTTTGCCAGAGTGGGCCGTCATAACGAAATATACAACCATCAGGCTCAGATTAGAAACGTGCAATTGTCATTTACGGATATGGTGGATCATATTCGACCTATTTCTGAACACGACGGGTATATTTCAAATTTTGTTGAAATATCCCTTTGAATATCCTCGGAACGCTTCGAAATGGGTGAAATATGATCCATGATATCAGTAAATGATAACCACACGCTTGTTTTTTTCAGCAGATGGCTAGCTATATTTTTTGTTTCACCCGACGGATTCTAGCCAGCACTTCAAAATCAACCATTGAATCAGCGCGATGTGTCTTGGTCATGGAGAATAGAAGGGTAAAAGAAGGGCATGACGTCAGCCGCGTAGCCTCCACAAGCCATGCTCCCTTGACGCCTCGCCTCCTTCTCATTTTCCTCTTTACTCTCACCACATCACGTGACCGCAGCTAGCCTCCGTCTAGCCTTCGATCTGATAAAACCTACCAGACCGAGCGCACGAGCCTGCAAGGAATCCTCCTACAATCAACCATCCATCTCGCACGTGACATGTCACGCGCACCAATCGCCAGAGAGATCTGCGGTCACGATGGGCACAATATCGTTTAAACTTTTTATGACTAGGCTTCACCAATATTGCAACGTGACCCCTCCTATAGTACTTCTAACCTCCTTGGTCTTGGTATATTTGCCCGTGACGTCACGTTCACAACGTCACGTTTTTGGGATGAAGGTGAAGACGGTGAAGAGAAAGGGGGGAGCCAGGACAACGTCACGGGCCCATACACGGTCAAGGATGCACTGATTACGATCGTCGTCACTAGGTGGCGCCAGCTTTATCGTCAGCGCGCTACAATCCTGCCAGGTGGGAATGACGACATATGAATGACGAGGACGGGTTTTAGGTCTGTTCGATTGGGCCAGAAAGTTCTGAACTAGTTTTGTCCCAGTTCAGAGCACAGCAGGGGCCCTAATCTGGACACTTGGCGGAAAAGTCGGCGAGAAATTCGGCGGATATGATTGGCCGGTGTCAAGGTCAAGTGTGGCGTTGGCCAATCGCGGCCGCCAAATTTCTCGCCGTTGTTTTCACCAAGCGTCCAGCTAGGGCCCCAGCACATACTCTATGGGCCCCAGGAGTCGTGCAGCGGCGGCTCAGAACCAGTGCAGCCGCCGCGCTAGGACTTACGCTGTGATTGGCTTTTTGAGCGGAAGCGCAGGGTGTCGTCTCCTAGTCAGAGTGTCGAACCGATATTTTTATCGGTTCGGTTCGGGTTCGGGTTCACGGCTTTCGGTTCAGTTCCGGTTCAGTTCCGGGGCGCAAAAAATAACGGTTCAAACCGGTTCGAACCGGTTCGAACCGGTTTGAACCGCTAAATTGATAATATATTTTCCGCGTTGTTCTGTCAATATGCACTATTTAGGCCGTGAAACTAACTGCTGTAAACGATCTGATTTTTGCGAGGACTTATTTTTGAGAATTTCGCGAATCGCCTACAATCCGCGAAAAATGGGTCCCCAAAGAATTTCGGTAAAATGTAAACAGATTGAAATTTATATTGAGATTCCACCGCGTCGAGAAAATTACAACCCGCGAATTATTCCGAAACTTCAGCTTTGACCTAAATCGCGAAATATTGAGCCCACGAAAAATAAGTCGTTTACAGTATATAGTTTTCTTTTTTTTATATAGTTTGTTCAATCCAGTTTTATTTCCAGGTACAAAAATTATAAAATTCTGTTATTTATACCTACACAGCAAGAAAGGAAAATCTACATTAACATACAAAACGTCGTGTTTATACGACTCAACATCCCTTCGTTTGCCAGAGTCACATACATTGTACCTGAATCGAAATGTTTTCGCGAAGTGAAGTAGGTTGCCTAAAATACCCGTGAATGGTACAACTTTGTATCGCAGTATTAGATGTTGATTCGTGGTTCTGCCCTTGAACTAAGGAATTCATTACAGTGAATAAAATCATGAAATGGGCAGTTCGTCGCCATATACACCATAAAATGTGTTTTATGGAATACGTTTCACAATATATATATATGATGACGAGACGACTGAACTGAAGGCAATATAATTTTCAAGATGTCACGAAAGTCACGGGACAAGTCCTTCCAGTCTATATTTTATAGAAACACTAAGCGACAATCGCAATGCTTATTTTTCTAACTAGCATTGTTTGCTCTCAGCAGCATGATGCGGGCGACGAATCATGCGAAAAGGAGTGGCTGAAGTTGTTCACTCTAACCTATGAGCACCTTCGCACTGAGATCGAATCTGACCTAAAACAGTGCTTACCTATGTGAACATTTTATTATATTGGATAAACTGGCATAGCCTGGTTCTTGAGGTTTGCTCTTGACAAAATGCCGGTCAATTTAATTTGCAAATAAGCATCACCCTCGTTAATTGATGATTTTTGTTAAATAGAACAAAGTGGGATTTTATGCACTACTCAATTCAGAAGCTACTTAATTTGACACTTTCTGAGAGTTTAAGTGTGCAATCGTCATAGTTCCACCAT